AGATGACCTTAGTTCAGACTATAACCCAATTCTAATTAAAATAGAAGATGTTTGCACCACGGTACTTAACAATATCCTGAACGTGAATAATTTGGAACAATATAAAACCGACCTTGGAAATGTTACTCTAGCACCAGACGCAGACCTTATAATTGATCAAGACAATTAAATTAATTCATTCACAAAGCACATAATTGACACAGCAAATTAGAATAAAATGGAAATAGAGACAGGCAGAAACAACCCTTAATCATTCCTACACAATATCAGGAAAAAAATAAGAGAGAAAAATAGACTTAGGAGAAGAGCTAAAACCTATGACACAATCATAAAAAGGCAAGCGATCCAAATGACTTCCATCATCAAATCCTCAATTAAAGAATATAGGAACGCTTAATGAACGGGAAGCCCTCTTTGCGAACCTGAATCCTGAAGATAATTCACTCTGGATAATCAAAAAAGCTATTACTAACAAAAAGGAAACCAACTTGCCTCCAATTCATGGTTCCACAGGAATCGTACATACAAAGCAGGAAAAAGCCGAGGCTTTTGCAGACTCACTTGAAAGGCAATTTTCTAATAACGAAGCGCAAAATGATGATATAGATTTTGAAATTAATATAGACAGGCGGTGATACTCACACTATTCCACACCAACCGCCACAGATGAAATTATTACACAATTCAAACTGGCAAATAAGAAAAAAGCGCATGACCCAGACTTCAACACAAATAAGATGTTGAAGCTGCTACCGGAGAATTTTATATCGAAACTAAAACATCTAATGAATCAATCCTTCAAACTCAAATATCACCCTGACGCATGGAAATTGTCCAACATCGCTCTCATCCCAATAATTTGATCTTCCCACAAAACTGGAGACCAATAAGCCTAATTACATCGCTTTCAAAAATATCAGCGAAGAAAGAGAATCGGGTGTGGTGGTGGTACTTGATATTAAAAAAGCGTTTGATAAAGTTTGGCACAATTAATGGCTTAGTGGTCAAACTTCATGACAACCTAGATGTCCCCACCAACTAGTACAATTCATTCACAACTTTTTAAGCAATAGAAAATTTTCGGTCAAGTTGAATGAAAAATTCTCCCGATCAAGAACCATTGAAGCTGGGGTCCAACAAGGTTCTCCCATTGCCCAAATCCTCTACAATCTTTTTACTCCAGACATCCCCAAACCAATAAACTCAAAGATTGCATTATACGCAGATGACACTCTTACGAAAAAAAGTCCAGTAAGAATTTATATAAGTTTACAAAGAGCTGCTGATGAAATTTCTGAATGGGCAGACAAATGGAAAATTCAAATCAATGAAGAAAGATCACTGGCAATTGTAATTAATTACAGGCAGAAGGCAAAATAGAGTTCCACAAATAAATATCAATGATATAGTCATTCCATGGTCCGAAACAATCAAGTACCTGGGACTAACACTAGATCGAAAACTTAATTTTGAAAATCTTATAGAAAATAAAATAATGGAAGGCAACACTACTTATGAAGCTTTATATTCACTTATTGACTTTAAAAGTAAACTAACAAAAAAGAATAAAATACTATTATATAAACAGGTCATTAGACCCAAGATTCTTTATGGCTCCTGGGCTTTCACTAATGCCCCACTCACCTATATAAATAAATTCCAAACTTTTCAAAATAAAATTTAAAGAAGAATCATCAGAGCTCCATGGTTTATCAGAAACGATGGAATTCATAATGACCTAGCAATTGACGAACTTAATGATTATCTGATCATGAGGCATACCAAGTTTCTGCAAGCAATTCAAACACACAATAATCAAAAAATTAGACAAACATTCAGCTTACCAGCAACAAACGGAATCAGTTATAAAAACCTGCATAAACCACCAACTTTTTAATATATCACTTCCTTTTATCCCTGCTCCCATCTATCCACTCCTATCTTAATCTTGCTGGCTCCAATCCAAACCAGTAAGCAATAAACAAAAATCAATTATCAACAACTTCCATTTCACAAATTTAGGCCACCTATTAATAATCCTTTGCTCAATTGTAATATACCAGCTTAAAACAAAATGTAAAAACCCACCCTCATGCAAAGTTTCGCCTTTGAGATATTTTGAATCCATGTATTTGAACACATGAACTACATATTTTTTGTATCAATCATTCGGTTTTTCTTTCCGTATTGCTCCGAAAGAGTGCATATTAGGAATATCGGAAAAAAAAGTTGGGAAAGGTTGAAGTGTTTACTACCAAAAAAAAAAAATATGTTTTAGAAATATTTCCCAAAAATATCTAAGAATGTTGATACCAAATGACCCTAATTATCACACATTGAAAACTTCCTATTGACGTACCAAACACCCTGTATGTATATAAAAGTTCAATTAATGTGAACCCTCGTACCCTACCGTCAAACCACTTAACAATTGCATTATAAAAATGAAAAATAAAGGCTCTATTAATTCAAGATTATAAGAGTGCGCTTCTCGATGCTGAAAAAATAGATATTTCGCGTTCGGGACTATGCTGTTTTTATAAAAACAGTTGCATTTAGGGAATTCTAACAAAAACTGTTTTCAAGAATGTACTTTTGTGCTTGCTTGACCAGTATTTTTTTTTTGATTTTTCTCATTTTTTGAAAAAAAAAGTTCATAAAATGAGAAAAATCAAAAAAAAATTTACTGGTCAAACACGCACATAAACATATCCTTGAAAAAAGTTATCGGTTAAAATTTCCTAGAAGCAACTGTTTTTATTAAAATAGCAAAGGCGCACTCGCGATTTTCAGCATCGAGAAGCGCACTCTTAACAAAGACGAGACTAGGAATATTCTTGTTGTTTCAAATACAAATTAAAATCACGAAAGCAGAGTGAGCCATAATACAATTCACGTGAATATTTATGAGAAAGAAATAAAGAAACCTAAAACAAAAAAAGTCCAGTATTTTTCAGGAGGAGATTATATAACTATTTCCAGGGCACATTTCATTTTTAAAATGTATAAAAATTAAATAACAAAAAAGCTTGAAACGTGTGTAATGCGCTGCTACTTCCTGATGCTGAACTTTAAAACAGCAATATATTTCTGGTCTGGATAAAAGTAACGGCGGACAAGTGGTAAAGTACGAAAACGGTTTTATTTTATACATTCCAACAGTCTCTTTAAATTTTATTTTTGGTGCGTTTTGCAAAATAATCTGCTTTCAGTTCGAAAAGGAAAGAAACTATATTTAAATGTTGTGTAAACTTGGAGGAATTTATATGCGATTTTTTTGAAGAAGAACGGAAGTTTGCCTGACATTTTTTTTTTGAAATATATTTCATCAGCAAAAAATTAGATCGAACTAAAAAAACGAAAAAAGCAAAGCTGTATTATGTTTGAAAAAAAAAATCGCATCAACAATTCAAGGGTTTATTATTGCCCTCAACAAAGAATAACTTCCCCGTCTTAGGATAAGATGATGTAAAAAAAACCTGGTACTTCAACCAAACCTTTTATATATGTTCCTAGTAATGGCACTCTGGAAAGACATAAATTGTGAACCCTAATCCATTATTTATTGGCAACATTTTACAGGGGAAATTCGGTTAGCTATACTTGGAAAAATTTACAGCAACTAAATAAATTTGTGAACCGTTTGGTTTACTTTTAAAATCTTCAAATAAAAAGGAAAATTTAATTAAAATTTATCCAGGGTTTAAAAATATTTTCCAATTTTGATGAAACTTGATACAGCGACATGGGAAGGTACATAATCTAATTTCGTTCGATTGGTGTCAAAATTCAAAAATAAATTAAAAATAAAATAAAATCTTTGAAATGATTAGGGTTGTCAAAGTAAGGGTAGGGCTTGAAAAAGAGCCTTGGGGTTTGATTTCGATGAAACCTGGTGCAGAGGTTTGGGGTGGTCCACAAAACCTTATGTTTCAAATCACAACTATCTACCTTATTTAAAACAAACATAAATTGGAAAACTTGGGACTGAAATTTATTATTATAAACAATTTGCTCCACCCATTTCTATAGGCTTAAAAAAATGCGAAAATAAGCACAGACTTTTTTACGAACTGGTGGTGTTAAAATTTGACAGGTCAGGTGTCACATTTTTTTGGTGGGACAAGTGACAACATTGGGGTGGAAGCGTCAAAATTAGGGTGAAAGTATCAAAATTCGAATGGAAAAGCAGGTTTCTCAAACCTCATTCACCTATAGATACAACCGAGCTAATGTAGAAAATTCGAAAAAATAATTTATTGAGAGATTCATCAAGCTAGCAATTGGAAATTTTGGGCCCCTTAATTCTGAATAAAATAATTTTTTTGTGAAGGCGCTAGTTTAAGACAAATTAACACTTCCACTGTCTAAAATCGAAAAAATAAAATTCAACTACAGCAGAATGTTGGCCATTATTACAGAAAACAACCCTTAGTCCTCCACATCATCTGCCAGAATTAGATTCCAATTTTTCAAAAAGCTTTAAGGCTTTCAAAAAGTAATGTCTGGAATGCAGCCCTTGAAGTTGAAGTACACCAATCACCAACTATGTCTTTGCTAAATAATAATCTTTTTGACATCTTCTTGTGTCGATAGAGTCTCTGATTCTAGAGCTTTTCAAACAATTCCACTTTGAATTCCTTGCTACACATCTTCATACCAAAAGCTACGAATTTTTCAATAGCCTCAAAATCAGAGATTTTAGTGACATTGAAAATATCTGGAAAAGTATATTATTTATCAAAATCATATCTATACTCGTAGTAGTTTTTAGCATCAAGGGTTGGTAAACAATAATTCCGAGTGTATATTTAGAGAGCTCAAAAAATCAGACTAAAAACATTCTAGAAAAAAACAGTAATATTTAGCAAAGTCAAATTTGAAGTCACTACGTTGGTGCAGTTGGCACAAGTTCCTAATTTGTCGTGGAAATTCGTGTCAAACTACTCAAACCATATTATAGATACCAACAAAATAAAGAAAACCACCACAAAACTTACCCTCCGATAATCTGCCTCCTAAGTCCATAGTAAAGTTTGGCACCTAAACCAGGATTCAGTGATTGTTTCATCATAATGGGAAATTCTTCAGTCGTCATTTTCTCGATGGAATTTGCACGAACGGAAAACCGAAACACCACGTGTATGCGAAAAGGTTAAGGAGTAAAAGGAAGAAAATAACTACGTTCGGCACTCGAAATAAACATTTATAATAGCTGAGGAATGCGTCGTCGCTACCAGAAACCCGAGCATCAAGGTCAATATTTTGAGATTTTTTTACCCTCTTCACAAAATTGTTTGGATTTAAGTCGACCATTTGTTTATAATGGTTTTATTGATTCATTTATAACTATACTATCTGTAATAATAACGGAAATTTTTCAATGGTTTATCTACAACTGCATACACTGTGTCCTATAATGTTGGATAACTTTTTTGTTTTTCAAAAGAAATCAATGAAATTCGGTAAATAGGTTTATTGCATAAATATAAATTTTTTGACGTTTCCAATGTCACTTCCGGTTTACCCACAGAAATGACCCTATTTTTCTTATCCTAAATGCGACATTCAGTATAGCTTGACATGTTCCGATTAGAAAATTATATTCTGAGTATATTGACACTTTGACATTTTACTCTGAAATAATTATTATAAATATTCAAATAACATATGGAATTTGGGGTATCAAATTATTGTTGAGAATGAACTGCGTTTTCCGAGTACCCATGTCCTACCTTTGTTAAATTTGGAAAGATTGAGAAAATGTCAAAAATACGATTATGAACATTTTAAAAGAGCCTGTAAAAACCAAAGACTGAGAAAAGTTAAGTGCATTTCAAGTTATTATCGACATTATTTTGGGTAGAATTCCTATTTTTGAGAACGGTAAATATTCATCTTCCCAGTCGTTTGATTGTTCTGAGTTCTGGTAACAAATAAGAATGCTTATCTATCATATTAACATGTTAAACATATTTGCGATTGTTTTTCCCAAAGAAAGAATTACCTTAAATCTGAAATTCAAGGCCGTTAAAATTCTTATATAATGTTTATTTTTAAATAAAACATCAAATCTCCTTAAAATCTGTTAACAAAGGATGTGTTTTATTGTACATTCCAACAAATATTTTCAAAGTAACAATCGTTGGCAGACATAAAAGTTTTATTTGAGCTCACTTTCTTAGTAATTTCTTTGAATGGTTGTAGTAAATTCAATAATAGTTCCATTGACATGGTTTACTGTTAAAAATATTCAAATTATATTTTCAAGATGGTGCCAAAAAATAGTGGTAGTGTTATCATCGGCAAAACTCAATAATTTTTTCGTAAATTAGGTAAAGAATTCAGATCCATGCCAAAGTGGTTCCCCTAAAACCATAAAACTCCAGTTTTTAAAGTAACAACCCATAGCCCATGATCCACACAATCGAACGCTTTGGGCAGATCGCAGAAGACCGCTGCAATTGATTCTCTGAAGAGCCCATAGACATTTTCAAATATGGCATTATGAGTTACCTGTCTAGAAGCCATATTGATTGACAATAAGGATATTATTTGCTGCTATAAATGATGTAATTCCCTTCTTATCGAGCTTTTTAATCTCCTTCGAGAGTGTTGATAGAATTACCCGAAAATTGGCATGATCCTCCTTGCTTCCTCCTTTATGCAGAGGCATTACGAACCAATGCAAAAAAAACAATGGAAATTTGTGAATAACTTGATCAGGGGAAATCAGGTTAGGACAGGAATCGATAGCTATTACGAACGAAAGGGAGATTCAGGAAATCATATCTGAACTGAAAAGGAACTTTGCCCCAGGACATGATAACGTAACGGTCAGGGATATACTAAATTTAAAAAATCACATTACAGCCACTTTAACTAAAGAGTGTTTCAATAAGAGTTTCCGGATGTTTTTTTTTTTTAATTCAAACGAAAAGCAAACTAGGAAATATTTAATACTTCATAGCAATAAGTAACACGATCGTTTAACAATTATACGTGAAACGCAATATCCAACAAATGGCCACCGCGACTTCTCTCACAGCACATAATTCTCATGCCAAAATTTTCGATCACATCTGTGCACATTTTCGGTGGTATCTCACGAATAATGCGCCGAATCTTATCTTTCAACTCTTGAATTGTTCACAAACGCTTTATTTTTGATGTAACCCCACAAAAAAAAGTCTAGTGACGTTAGATCGCAAGATCTAGGCAGCCAATTAATATCCCTATTTCTTGGAAGAAGTTCACCTTCAAACCGTGTTTGCGATAAGTCAATGGTTTCTCTTGCTTTGTGACATGTTGCGCCGTCTTGTTGGAAAAGTAAAGCGTATGTGAACAATCCCCAAACAATTCAAAAGTTGAGATTCGGCGCATTATTCGTGAATCGTGAGATACCACCGAAAATGTGCACAAATGTGATCGAAAATATTGGCAAAAGAATTGTGTGCTGTGAGAGGTCACGGTAGCCATTTGTCGGATATTGTGTTTCACGTATAATTATAAACGACCATGGTAGTTATTCCTATAAAGTATTGAATGTTTCCTAATCTGCTTTTCGTTTGAATTCAAACAAACATACGGAAACTCTTATTGGAACATCCTTTAGTTTAATCAATAATGTATTAAGAACAGGTAATTCTCCCGAAGAACTAAAGATAAGCCAAGTAATTCCAATCTTTAAGGCTGCAAGCAAACAATGTATGTATATTAACAGAACAATCACAGTAATAAGTGAACCTATTTTCAAAGCATATCAGTACTCTTAGTGCAATTACAGATTTCATAGACCACTTGTCGGCAACAAAAGATAAAAAATTGTTGGCTGGAGCATTGATGTATTGTTAAAAAAATTGGAAGATATGGGATTAAGGAAATTATTCAATCGAATCTTACTTGTTGGGAAGAAAACAGTATGTTCAGATTAACAATGCCGTTAGCAAGGTACTCTTGAACAGGTATGGAGTACCCCAAGACTCTGTCCTGGGACCTCTGCTATATTCCCCTTACCTATGTGCTAAGCCTGAGATGTGCAAACCTTAAGGCCCGTTATTTTGCTTTTGCTGATGACACGGTTTTGGTATATACTGGAAAAGGGGAGGGCGCCTTGAGCCGCACTGTGAATGGTGATTTGTAATTGTATGTGAACTGGTTGTATCACAATAAATTCAAAATAAATATGTATTGAAAAACTAATTTTATGATACTTTAAAAAACAAAAAAATCAGGAAATAGATATACAAATGAATAACTTAAGGCTTAATGAAGTTCAAAATATGAGATATCGGTTTAGTTATTGATAATAACCTAAATTGGTCAGAGCATGTGAAGCATATCACTGACAAAATAACAAAAATGATTCCTGTAATATATAAATGCAGAGATTACCTTTCAAAACAAAACAATGCCTTTTTTCTCTCTCCTTCTCGATATTTGCTGTCGATATCGAAAATATCCGGAAAGAAATTTTAATGCAAATCAGATATAAAACAAAATTCTGAAAGTACTGTTCAAATACGATAGACTGACCAGTGCAGAAACTTCATATGGAGAATTAAAGATTCCAATGCTTAATAAAATATTGGAAGTGGAACAAATTGAACTTATATACTTACAAGATCATTAATAAAACACAAAAGTCTAATGTCAATATTGTATTGTCGAATAATATCCATAGTTATGATACTAGATCACAAAAAATATTTATCAATTAGCGGTAAGAACAAGTATAGGTTTAGGTAATCCAGTAGCACAAGCAAGTAAAGTTTACAATCAACTACCAGGAAATATTAGGAATATGAAAATTCATAGGCTATTTGTAAAGCAAATAAAATTAAATTTAGATATATTATAGAATTATGAAATACAATAATATAGAGTCCGTCCAGTACTGTGTATAATTTTATTGTAGTATTCTCGATGCCAGAGCTTGAAGCACTGATTAGAGAATTATTTAAATTGTAGTCATAGGCGCCGGAACCATGGGGACAATGGGGGCTTAAGCCCCCGTTGTGAATTTGCTGATTTGTGATTTTGGTATTATTGTATGTAGTGGGTGTAGTGAGTAGGTACAAAAATATTGAGTTTCTGATCCTAACATTCCTAACTATTTATTTTTATGTCAAACTTGTGTGTTTTATGTTTTTGTTGTTTTTGCTATACCGACTTTGATGAACAGTTTGAATATTTTTCTGTTCAGTATAGTATGGTAAATTTTAGGGGCCTTAATACAAAATGCTTAGATGACAGATACCTATTACCCAACATAAAGGATCTCTTGAACAAGCTGGGACGCTGCCAGTATTTCACCACCTTATGCCGGTTTTCCACCAAACCGACAAAACAAAAACAAAACTTAAACTCAGACAAAACTCTAGCTTTTCCCAAATATTTTCAAGATTAGCGTGTTTTGCGACAGTTGGAGTTTTGTTTTTCGGTTTATTTTCGAGTTTTAAAACATGTTTTAAAACACAAACTCAACAGTCCGTTTGGTGGAAAACCGGCATTAGATTTAGCTAGCGGCTTCCACCAGATCCAGATGCATGAAAACGACATCGAAAAAACCGCATTCAGCACAGAAAACAGGCATTATGAATTCTTGCGCATGCCATTTGGTTTTAAGGACACGCCGGCTACATTCCAAAGAGTTATGGATGATATTCTATATCCCAATATATTAAGCAACTTTAACACCAAAAGATATAATATTGCATTAATAATAAAGACAACAACAAGGTCGTCAAAGAGCGCTGGGAATGCTGGAGGTGGAAGAGGGGAAATCGTTATCTTTCGTTCTCTATTCAACCTTAGAGTTTTTCTAGACATTTCATTCTATTGCATTAAAATTGGCCTGTTGTTATGACCTGTCAAACCTGTAAATAGCTATTTGGCTATGAAGTTTGTTTCGTGCCAAAAGTTGAGTTTTTTTTTTCAATTTGTTTTGAATGGAAGCGAGGCATCATAGCTAGGGAGTGTGTTGATTTCAGTCCATTTGCTGAGGAGATCTGTATATCAAAATTGTCTACTACCGTTTGAGTCAGACAAGACAATCGGGCTTCAAGCTATTTGCAAAGCGTAGTTCAAAGTTTGCTG